TGTCTCAAAAAAAGAAAAAAAAAGAGAAGAGGGTGGTGCCTGTGGCTCATTGAGTAGGGCACCGATCCCATATACCAAGGATGGCGGGTTTGAACCCGGCCCTGGCCAAACTGCAACAAAAAAAAAATAGCCGGGCGTTGTGGCGGGCACCCTAGCCCCAGCTACTCAGGAGGCTGAAGCAAGAGAATCACCTAAGCCCAAGAGCTGGAGGTTGCTGTGAGTTGTGATGCCACTGCACTGTACTGAAAGAGACAAAATAAGACTCCGTCTCTAAAAAAAAAATTTGGGAAAAGAAAAACCTCATACCTGATGTTCCCCAGGATCTCAACCCTCCTCCCACTAGCTATACACCTGGGATGGGGGGTGAGATCATCTCATACCTTGTCTAGCTGCTGTTTGAAGCAGGCAAGGCCCAGGGAGAGGATAGAACGGGTCCTGGCAGCATGACACACAGCCTTGTACCGTTCTTCGATGCACCTTGGGTTTGGGTGTGGCAGTGGCTCTGAGTTAGCCACATGAAGGACTCAAACCACCCAAGACTGACACCCCCACCCCTCCAGAGTTCAGGTCTGAGACTAAAAAGAACAGGCCGTATACTTACTGGTTCAGCAAACTCTTCCTGTCCCCAAGCCCACTCAGCTCCTAAAGGTGGGTAAAAGGAAGTGGTGATAGGCCCCCAGCACCAGCCCTTTAACAACTATCCGCCCTCCCTGTTTCCCAACCCTCACCGTGTCCACAGCCACGAAGTTAGCTGTCTTTATGGCCAGCAGGAGGGATGGCCACATCTCCTTGAAGTTGTTGCTTTGCACATCCACCACGGGAACCTGGACTGCTAGGTCCTCCCCAGATTTTGTGCTTTTGCTGACACCATCTGGAAGTAAGGAGGGTGATGAATGTTTATGCTCAGTCAAGACCCCAGGCCAGAGAAACAGACATCAGTTACCAAGCTAGGCAATGTCTGGCGGCAGAGAGTCCACTGATAGCTTTTCCCCTCAAGCTTTTGCATCCCATGTGTTCTACACAACACATGGAGAGGATGCCTGGGCCTTTTAATGGCCTATGTGAGGCCGGGAAAATTTCTTCCCCGGACCAGATGATTTCGAGGTTTATTTTTCCCATGTCCTGAAGGAAAATATTTTGCAGGGCCTGAGGATTTCAGCTCTCTTAATATACCACAAAGATCCATACTTACTGTTTCCAGCGGCCACATGTGACAGTTCCCACTATCCCCCAGAGCCAGATAAATAATGCCCCACAGCAAACCTCCCAATCCTTCCTAGTTCCTCTGGACCACAACCCTTGGCCTGTTCACTGAACTGAATCACATCTAATAACAGTTCCAGACTAACAGAGCTCCAGACTACATCTCCCGACCTGCCACCAGCCCTAACTGCATTCCCACCACTCCAGGCTTTGGCCGCCCGCGCCGCAGTGCACACCGGGACTTGTAGTCGGCTCGTGGCTGCTTACGGCGGAAGGAGCTGGTCCTTTGGGGCTTCAGTTCTGTCTCTAGAAACATAAGCCCGAGGCCTACCCATTCCCTGGGTTCATACGTTTTTAAGACGACCCCAGGGAAGCTGCTCACCTTCGGAAACCGCTGGATCTGAAGCTGCGCCATCTTCTTTGTCGGCGGCCATGACGCCTCGCGTCTCCTCCCTGAGTGGTTCTGTTGGGTAGGCGCGACTTCCGCTTTGCCACTGGAGTCGGCTCTGGCGGCAGGGGATGGGGCGGGGTCTCGCACTCGGAGTCTGGCGCGAGTTGGCTCTAAGAACTCATTGGCTGGTGCGGCAGGCTCGCCGGCCGACGTGCAGGAGCGACGCCCCTTTGCGTGCGTCTCGAGCGGGCGCTGTCGAGAGGTAAAGTCTTCTGGCGCTCTTGGGCTGGAGCGTGGAACCTCGGTGTCACGGTGTCTTCATCAGTACAGCCCGGCGGCTCGGGTGAGGCAGGTGGCCCTGACCGTCAGCTTAAAGCACTTTGGGGAGTTAGGATGTTTTCGGCATCGGCAAATCCCCAGAGAGTATGGAGAACTTAGTGAAAGGCGGAGCTCAGGGCGCAGGACAAAGCTTAGCAGGTAGAGCGACTGACCGGCAGGCAGGGAAGCTTTTGGAGCAATCCAAGTGGGAATGTGGGCTTGAATTAAAGGTCTGGCAGTAGGAATAGTGAGGAAGGCACAAACTGTAAAGCAATTAGGTGGTATAATTGACGTTGAGGGAGATTGAACATGACTCAAAAGTGTTGTTTCTATCGGAGACCGGTTCCTCCCCAAGCATTCCGGTTTCCGTCCTCTCTCCGTGGCTATTCACTGTTTCTAGTTAGTCTTCAACTTTTCTCTTTTTATTGAGTCCTTTTTGTCATTATTCAGAACTGCTTGCGTTTCTCCCTGAAGAAGGGGAAATCTCTGTTGGCTATCCTCCATCCCATTACCCTCAGATCATTTGACAATTGTTTATTATGTACAGTTTATCTGGCACTGGCTCTGGGAACACAGCAGTCAACAGAAGAGACTCAGTCCTTTCACTCTTGCAGATTTTTACAATCAAGGGTGGGAAATGGGACACTGACCAATAGAATCACAAGAAGCCTGTTTACTGAACTGAATCACTTCTATAAATAGGAGCTCCAAACTACCAATGAATTGTGAAGTTAAGAGTTATAATGGGAAAAGGTAAGACTGCGGGACCTGATTTGGACTTTTAAGGCTAGACCTGAAAAATTATTAGATGTTAGGTCAAGCATGGAAGAGGTGTCCAGGAGAGCAAAATGGATTGCATGAGGCCCCAAGCTGGACAGACAGTTGGACCACTGAAGCAGCTAAATTCAAGTAACAAAGCATAGCAAGAAGGGACGATGTGGGTGGGGTCCTGACTCTGGACCGTCCAGGTTGTAGTAAGAAGACTAGCTCCTATTTGAAGAGCAAGGGTATGACAGCCAAAGCCTTCCAGTGGCTTATAAGGTTCTCTTACCCCCATCTCTGTGGGCGGAGGGAGGATGGTTGCTGGAAAAAGAGATTGTCTCCCATACCATCCTACTATTGGCCCCCACTTCATTCCATTTTAATCACCTTGATGTACTTACTCTACAATAAACATACCAGGCACCCTCTTAAGGGCCTTTGCACTCATACCTGGCCTTTTCCATAGGTAATCCATATGCTTTAAGTCATTCAACTGCTTTAAGCCATTGGTCACATAGCACTTTAGTCATGCAGGCCAGGACTACATTCTTTCAAAATGCAACATTCCTTCTCTCATAGTTTCTCTCTCTCTTTTTTAAGCACCATACATACTCAGTACTTAGTTTCACAGTTTCTCCATGAGAAGAACCCACTTCCAACTCTCTTTGGAAGTGCTCTAAGTTTTCTCTTTGTTCTTCCTAAATAAAACCTCTCTTTGTTACCCTGAAAAAAATAAAGCAAAACTGGGTGGTGCCTGTGACTCAGTGAGTGGGGTGTCAGCCCCATGTACAGCCCCATGGATGGTGAGTTCAAACCCAGCCCCGACCAAACTGCAACAACAACAACAACAACAACAACAATAAAAATAAAACAAACTTAATTTAAAAAACTAAAGCAAAATTGTAACATTCCACCACTTGTCTGGGCACTCTATCCCTTTACTTGCTTTCCCTTTTCATACTAATAGTTATCACTTAACATCCTATACAGTTTACTATATGCATTATTTGTTGTCCCCATTAGAATATAAGCTCGACGGAGGTAGGAATCTTTTTTTATTTAGGCAGAGTCTCACTCTGACTCAGGCTAGAGTGCTGTGGTGTTAGCCTAGTTCACAGCAACCTCCAACTCTTGGGGGCAAGTGATCCTCCTGCCTCAGCCTCGCAAGTAGCTAGAACTACAGGCATTTGCCACAAAGTCCAGCTAATTATTTCTATTTTTAGTGGAGACGAGGTTTCAGTCTTACTCAGGCTAGTCTCAAACTCCTGAGCTCAAGGGATACTTCCACTTAGGCCTCCCAGAATGCTAGGATTACAGGTGTGAGCCATCATGCCCTGCCTAGGGCAAAAATCTTTAATGTTTTATTTACTGAAGTATTCTATCTTTTTTTTTTTTTTTTTTTG